GCATTTGGCTTGCTGACTTCTTTTAGCTCTTTTCGCCTCATTTTTTTGAAAACTATGACTGGCAGGAAGTTTCCGATGTCGAACATAGTGCAAAAAGAGTTAGTAAGTTAGCAAGAGACACGCAGCTATAGGTAGATCGCAAAGTAAATACGAATAATAAATACAAATACGAACGAAACGAAACAAACGAGTGAATACAAAAAAATACGAACAAAAATTAGGGTTTTTTTTCAACCAAAACTTTTTGAATTTTCACTTTAACGCGCGTGGGGACCATGGTTTACAACAACATAATTTAAAAATTCAAATTCTGACTTTTAAAATGACAAAATAAATGACAAAACCAACCAACACAAATTACTGTCCACACCACAGATACCTGTAAATTTCTCTTATCTCCCGACAGTGTCGCCATCGTTGAATGAAAACCTAACTAAAAACCTTCGTCGCGATTCTCCCATTTGAGATATTTTTCTATAGGTGATATGTTCTGTGTTTTTAAATTGTGTTGTTGTAAATCATGGTCCCCACGCGCGTTAAAGTGAAAATTCAAAAAGTCTTGGTTGAAAAAAACCCTAATTTTCGTTCGTATTTTTTTGTATTTACTCGTTTGTTTCGTTTCGTTCGTATTTGTATTTATTATTCGTATTTACTTTGCGATCTACCTATAGCTGCGTGTCTCTTGCTAACTTACTAACTCTTTTTGCACTATGTTCGACATCGGAAACTTCCTGCCAGTCATAGTTTTCAAAAAAATGAGGCGAAAAGAGCTAAAAGAAGTCAGCAAGCCAAATGCAGTTGAACATTAAAAATTATTTAAAAATAGTAAAAATATGAAAAAAATCAATTCGCCTTTTTGTCAAGAATGCTCGATTAGTTGGCTTTTCATTCAACGATGGCGCTGTAATTCATAACCGGTACATAACATTGCAGATACTTTTCTAGAGGTGATGTTCTGTGTTTAAAAATTCAAATTTTGACTTTTAAAATGACAAAATAAATGACAAAACCAACCAACACAAATCACTGTCCACGCCACAGATACCTGTAAATTTCTTTTATCTCCTGACAGTGTCGCCATCGTTGAATGAAAACCTAACTAAAAACCTTCGTCGCGATTCTCCCATTTGAGATATTTTTCTATAGGTGATATGTTCTGTGGTGGCAGGGCAGCTTATTGAGGCAAGGGCCCGCGGTCTCAGCTTTGACACCTATCAAGTTTTGCACTGGAATGATGTGTCCAATTAAAGGTGACAATAAGTTGATTTAAGGTCTCTTCGCACAGAAATCCCAAACCAGAAGGAGTGAATTTCATTGTTTGAAACTAGTTTCCTGACTGTTTCCAACCAATGAAATTCGCTCTGACTGGTTTGTTATTTCTGTGCGAACAGACCTTAAATCAACTTATTGACACCTTTAATTTGACACATCATTTAGTGCACGGCTTGATAGGTGTCAAAGCAGAGACCGCGGGCCCTTGCTCCAATAGAAGATTTCATTTTGAATGACTTTGGGAGAAAGTCGACAAACAAAGTCACATAACCTATAAATAGCATTGACAATGTTATTAATTTTTTTTCAATTTTGGGCTTTAACCCAGATAACACAATGTGCGTCAATGTGCTCGAAAAGTTCCGGCCGACTTCAGAGAAAATAGCATTTCAATGGTAATGCTTCAGAAGTATGTTAAAAGTGCGTATAATAAAACAAACCAAATCAAAGTAAGCTAGCAGCGTCGAAAAAATGCTCTTATTTCAACTTTTAAATTGAATGGTCTGTGAAGTGCAGGGAAACCACTGCAAAACCGCATTATTTTAGTGTGCGAATTAGCGGTACGCTAACAGCACTCCCTGAACACTTACCAAGATACCAGAGAGAGTAGAGTCTGCTCTGAGTGCTCTACATGCGCTGCCTGGAGTGCCTGCAGTCGACAGTGATTAATTAGAGATTTAGAGATACTCCGATCGTGCAGGTGGTGTACTACAGAGGTGCACCCCCCACCACAGATATCAAATGTGGAAAGGAAAGGGATAAGGAAACGGCAAGAAGGCAAGCTGAAGCAAGGAAGCCTGAGCCAAAGCTGCCGGCTGCCGCCATTGCGCCATTTTTAATGTTTAGATTTTTAGGTATTTAGTTTCGTGTTTGGGTTCTTGTGCGTGTTTTCGGTTTCACTGGAAGAATAATGAGTTCCAAAAGGTAAGTGAGTAATTATCAAATATTAGTTACGGGTTAATCCAAGCAATTTTGTTCTGTGCTGTATGTGGTGATTGTATAGGTGCTAATGCATGCGTGGTGGGTGACGGGTGTGTTGTGTTTTCACTGTTTAATTAACGAAATTCTGCAAAATCGATTCAATTCTTTTTAGAGCCTTTTCGACAAGATATTGCAAAATAAGTTCACTTTATTAGAGCAACCTTTTCCCCTATAGGTACCCAACGAGGCTGCCAAATTTGAATTCTGTCATCCCCAAAACGACTTCGATATGTATGAATCAATAGGCCTTTAATTGCGCAACTTATTTTCTTATTTGAGCCACCCCCTGTACTTTTACAGCTTGCAAAAACCTCATAAAACTCATTTTATTTGGTGCCCTCTGTGTAAGAGATTTTAATTTAGGTATAATTTCTTTTTTAGGTGACCAGAAAAAGCGAAGAAGATTATTTAGAAGAAATTATAATATAGATACATATTTTATTTTATTTTTTTATTTATATTTCCTATGTTTATTTATTAAAAAATCATAATTCCACAATGTTTGTTTTTGCTATGGCTATCAGTGAAATAAAAAATGTACTCAAAAAATACTTCAATGAAGTACTTTAGGAGTACAATATAAATTTACCAAAAAAGATGTTCTAGTGGTGCTTTTTCTCTGTCGGAAAAATGCTTTTATGAAGCATTTCGCAAATACTTCCAACGCACGTTTGAAGCACTTAGAGCACTCCATGTTGGAAGTGCGTAACTGCAGTGCTTCTATGATTGCGCCTTTTTTTTACTGGCCGGCTGGACATCCCAGAAGCGGCTGAGTGGTTTTCACAAGTACTTCTCAGACATGCAAATGCGAAAATACAGCACAATTGAAGTACTTTTCATGTAGTTTTGTGTTATCTGGGAAATTTAATAATTATAGCAGTTTTGGTAGAACGTGATATGTTTTATCGAGAGGCGATGAAGCGATGTGTATTTGGTGATTGTAAAAGTGATAGTCGAACGAGTTCCATTAAATTAACGACCCCATTTGCCTCTTCTACTGGAGTTTTAGGTAACACAGCACCTGTCACATCACTTTCTGTTAATTTTATCAAACGTTTTGCAACCAAGGAAGCCATAGCGAATGCATCGAATACTTACGAAAGCGTAGATTTGACAAGATGCTGTGTTATTTTAAACTCCAGTGGAGGCAAATGGGGTCGTTAATTTGATGGAACTCATTCGACTATCACTTTTACAATCACCAAACACACATCGCTCCATCACCTCTCGATAAAACATATCACGTTCTCCTAAAACTGCCATAATTATTAAAATTAAGCCCAAAATTGAAAAAAAATTAATAACATTGACAATGCTATTTATAGGTTATGTGACTTTGTTTGTCGACTTTTTGCCAAAGTCATTCATAATGAAATCTTCTATAAGCTGTCCTGCCACCCTTTTCCGGCAAGTTTTCACGAGGCAGGATCGACTTTTTAGAAAGGGGACATCGAGACCTTCAATCTGATACCCTACTTAGGGCATAACTCGATGGGGGTAGTGTTATGTTTTTTTCAATTTGTTAATAATTTGTTAAAAGATATTTCCGGCAGCATTTGCTCTCAGGCAGGAATACAGGTTAATAGATGCACATAATACTATATTATATTGATAATAGTGTCGACACATAACTCGATCGGGGTAGGAAAAATGCGGTCGTCTCCCAGACTAAGCGTAGTTACTGGATTTAAGATAGGCAGTAAATTATTTCTTTCATTAAAACTTACGTAAGTGAGGTAATAGAATTGAAAGCGAATTTTTATTGCAGAAAATTTTGCGACGATCGAGTTTTTCATTCTCAACTAACGAAGACACTTCTTAATTCAATATAAGGTTCTAGAAAAGTTTTATTATTTCCAGGAAAACTTTTCTGTCATTTAAGTTTGAAATTAAAACGGCAGTTATTCTTATTGAAATTATAACAATAGAGGTACTTACTTCGATTCCTTCCTAAAAGTATCGCCACAAAGACAGACAGATAAAGCCGTGCAGCTAGTTTAGATACTAGTAAATAGGTTTGATTCAGTTTTATATTGCGGAACAGATACAAATTTAGTCTAGGTAATGAACAAAAATTTTATACAATGAAATAAAATTCATCGCTGCTGATTGAATAGAAGACTCTTAATTAATGTTAATTTTAACAGCCAGATTTGGGTCAAAATCAAAATTTCTATCTGTACCAAATTCATAAATAGATATACAAGTTACTTATATCAATGCAGTTCTTGCATACTCCCTAATGATTCAATTTTCGGTGCATATAGGAAGTGCAGATAGAAGAAATAATGCAGACAACAGATTTTTGTGTCCATTCAGGTGTCAAATTGAATTTTTATTTGAAGTTTGAGTAGTTAATCTTGTATGTAGTAGACATAATATGTAGGTACGTATTTTGTTTAGAATATATATATTTTTTAAATATGTAATTTAGGGACTAAAAGTCTTCCTTAGTACCTTTCCGCCTCGGGATACAAAGAGTGACTTTAGTTGTTTATCGTTATATTAATAAAGGTGGGTAATTATGTTTATTGTAAGTAAATTTTTACAGCACAAATTTTACAATTATTTATATCTCACGTGACTATATGTGGAAAATGTATTGTTTTTTATTATACAGTCAATGTGTTCAATGTGAGAGAAGGAAAAAAACTACTTGCAGCAAAAATGTTATTTGCCTTTTCATAGACGCTATAGATAATTGATAAAATCATAGAAAAATAATTCATGCGATAAAAGTAGCCTACCTTGAATACTTGTCGGCATAAGAAATTTTCTTTTACAGGAAGTAACCTAGAATTTAAAACAAATTATGTATGTGATATTTATTTAGTAAAAGGTGTGATTATACAAATGAGCAATCAAATATTTCTTTTTTTTTTAATGCTTTTATTATCTTGTGTAAAAATTGAACTAAGTTTAGGACAGAACATAAAACACTCAAAGCAGACTAAGTACTCACTAGAATGCTTTCAAAAAGGTTTATAATATTCTGCGCGCGAATACACAATGGCTTTTGAATATTTTATTTGATATGGCTTCTAATACCAGTTTATAATAGTTAAAAACGTGAATTTAAATGAATATAATTCTGCAGGGTTACTAATAAAAATATATTACAGTCATGGTCTTTATGTCAATGGAAGTGCAAATAAAATAGTTTTCATTAAAATACAGAATGACATAGGTTTATAGTTTGCAATTGTTGTGAATGGAAGTACTTACTTGGCCATTTCAGACAGTTGCAGACGACCATCTTTATTGGCATCAAAAACTTGTAACTGAAATTAAACAAAAATAAACATATTCAATCTTCATAACAGCATGAAAACAAAACCTATTTCAAAAACCTTTTTAGTTTATTCCCGAAAATTTTTAAGCATTTATCAATATTCGGGGCTTATTTGGATAGAAAAGAAAAATGTTCACTGTAAGTGTTCGATAATGGTATTCCTCCTAAGAGATTTTTTATACATTAGGGAAATATTCAGGTGGATGACTTTATTATCTCAACAAATTATACTAACTCTTATGTAGACAAGAAAATGATTACTACTACAACACTTCGAATTATCTACTTACATCAAGAAAAGCTAGATCACTATAACTGATTGCCTTACTATCCAATTCAAAACTCGTTTAACGATAAAATTAAATCGCCTCTCAAGTATGTCGATTAAATACCTTTCCGCGCCTTCTCTATTTCTCTCCAGAATTCCGTACTGGAAATCTCCGTTGCGGCACTGCAGTCTTTGTACTTTCGATCTCAGTATTTTCCTTCATTGTAGGCTGCCGTTTGTCGAGTCACATCTTTATTCTGTCACTGTTCTCACCTAGTCTATTTGGCGAAATCGTGAACCAAACCCATTCCGTCATGAAGATCGTCCACTTGAACTGTTAGTACAGCTTTTTCCTCATCGTCCAATGGTCTGCCAACATTGGATCTATGAGAAGCTTAATTTCTATTCCAATCCAACAACAGCCATGCTGATAAAGTGTTTTCATTCGGACTTAATGGCCGTCGTAATTTGTAATTTCTTCCTGACGTTTCGCTAGCACGCATGGCTAGCATCTTCAGAGGTGCTTCCATGTCCGATTCTGGTAGCAGACTGACGCGTTCCTGATCGCAAGTTATATTTATGTGTGCGTGGTTGTGGTGGGGAAGGGGCGGGGCTTCGCAACACGTGGCTACTCTGAATTTCTATGTACTCAATGGGATCTTTCTTGCGTTTTTGAGGATCGGGCTCCAAATTTAGTTAAGTTTTAGTGTTTCTTCTTTCCTGTTGAAGTTCTCCGTATGTTTTTGGATTTCTATAGCTTCATGGACAAGACGATTGCGGTATTCGGAAGTCGGTGCAAGAAGCTTGACCTCACCAAATAATATTTCGTGATTCCCTTCATTAAGCGTATGTTCCGCTACTGCCGATTTTTCCGATTGTCCTAGTCTGCAGTTTCTTATGTGCTCGTTGATCCTGGTTCCCATGGATCTTTTTGTTGTTCCTATGTATACCTTACCACATGTGCATGGTATACGATAGACTCCAGCGCTTGACAGTGGGTTCCTCTTATACTTGGCTGATCTAATTGATTGCTGTACTTTCCTTGTTGGCTTGAATATCGTTTTTGTGTTGTGTTTTTCAAGACTTTTTCCTATCCTGTCTGTCACCCGAGAAATGAAAGGCAGATATGCATTAGCCACCACTGGTAGTTCATCCACGTTTTGTCGTGTGTCCGTTTTGGGTCGCATGACCCTATCGATTTCAGATGCATTTTATCCATTTGATAAAAAAGCCAACTTGAGGTGATCCAGTTCTTGCTCGAGATGTTGTGGCTCGCAGATGTTCCGAGCACGTTCTGTTAACGTTGTTATAATTCCACGTTTTTGCCTTGGATGTGGGTCTGAGAGTGCATGCAGGTAGCATTTTTGTATCGAGCGTCCAGTATACCGCATTCGGGTAATGTCGTATTTACCGAGGTCTGTCTCATAACGAGCATCTGATATCCCGATCGATTGTCAAGCTACCGTACGCTTGATACTACTTGTAGTCCTGCGAAATTCTGACTCGGCGTCCAACAATTCAGTTGTTTTTTTTAAATTGTTTATCATTTATTATGGACTGGCCACTGGCCAGACAATTATATCTACCACATTGTCAATTCACTCAATTCCAGCGAAATACGAACTAATTTTCAAGATTAAGCAGGATGTCGAGGTAAGTCAATAAGTAAGAGCAAAATTACGTTTTATCTACATAACCTCACCATGGCGAGAAAACCATAGAATAGGCCATTTTCACATTTTTCGAAAACATTTTTGGTTTATTGTGTTCGAAAACATTTTTGGTTTATCGAATTTTTAATGCAGGTAAAAATTAACAAGATTTTGTTTTTTACTTAGGGATTTATATACCTGCAATAGTTATTTGACAAATGCGGAGATTAGATTCAGGCAGATTTATAGTTATCTATTATACAAGGGAAAAAAGTAGGTACTAGACTTTAGCGCGAGGTGTGATTTGTCTCTACTTTTTTCCCGTCACAGAAAAATAATTATCTTTTTTCTGTGACGAGAAAAAAGTAGACTTTTTCTACCTGTTGACAGGGGCAAAAATGTCACTTTTTCTCTCACGGGAAAAAATTGATTTTTTTCCCCACGGGAAAAAAGTAACAGGTACCAGTCAATTTTTCTTCTCAAACGGAAAAAAGTATAAGACGGTCACAGAAAAAAAAATTATAGATGGAAAATGGTGAGATTTTTCCGTCACAGAAAAAAATAGTGTATTATAGATGGAAAACAACTGAAAAAAGTAAGATTTTAGCGCTTGTTGCAAACTAACCAAAACCAAAGAATATTATAGTTAACTATAGAAAACCTACGCTTATGGGCGACGGCAGACCGCTAGAGGCGCTGCTCCGGTGTTATAAATTGAAATAAATTATATTCGCGCTAGCTTTTCGGCAAACAAATTTTAACAGCGTTGCGCGATTCTCTCGGGCATTTATATTTTCTGTGATTTTACCTTGTAAGATGATAGACTAACTGGCGCGGCGGTTTTAGAATTTTTTACATCGACATATTAGATGATACCTAGTTGCTACGTCTAATTTGCTGTATAAATAGAAAATATATAAACTAAAACAAAATTATGCTCTGCGTGAGATAGGGAATGTTGAGTGGAGTCATTTTTGAAGTGGAAACTTTTTTAGAATCGTTGGGAGTGATTTGAGACTCGATGAAACGAAAAAGGGACCCGATGAAACTAAACGAAAAAGAAACACTTTTTTAACACGCTTATATTAATACAAACACACAACACACAACAGGAACCTGGAACAAGCCAAGTGAGCTGGAACAAGTCTGGAAAATGTCTGGATAAATCTGGATGAAGTCTGGAAAAGTCTGGAAATCTCTGGAAACGTCTGGAAAGAGCCTGGAAATTTCTGGAAAGGGTCGGAAAAATTCTGCCAAAGGTCCCAAAAGACCTGGAGATCATTTTCCAGAATTCGGATCAGTCTGTACAAGTCTGGATAGGGTCTGGATAAATCTGGATAAAGTCTGTAAAACTCTGGAAAACTCTGGATAAGTCTGGTTATTGTCTGGAAAAGTCTGGAAATTTCTGGAAACGTCTGGAAAAGACTTGGAAATTTTTGGAAAGGGTTGGAAAAAATCTGAAAAAGGTTCCAAAAGACCTGGGGATCATTTTCCAGAATCCGGATCAGTCTGAACAAGTCTGGAAAAAGTCTGGATTAATCTGGATAAAGTCTGGAAAACTCTGGAAAGCTCTGGAAACGTCTGGAAAGAGCCTGGAAATATCTGGAAAGGGTCGGAAAAATTCTGCCAAAGGTCCCAAAAGACCTGTGGATCATTTTCCAGAATCCCGATCAGTCTGTACAAGTCTGGATAAGGTCTGGATAAATCTTGATAAAGTCTGTAAAACTCTGGATAAGTCTGGATATTGTCTGGAAAAGTCTGGAAACGTCTGGAAAAGACTTGGAAATTTCTGGAAAGGGTTGGAAAAATTCTGAAAAAGGTCCCAAAAAACCTGGGGATCATTTTCCAGAATCCGGATCAGTCTGAACAAGTCTGGATTAATCTGGATGATGTCTGGAAAACTCTGGATAAGTCTGGATATTGTCTGGAAAAGTCTGGAAACGTTCCAGACTAGGAAATTTCTGGAAAGGGTTGGAAAAAATCTGAAAAAGGTCTCAAAAGACCTGGGCATCATTTTCCAGAATCCGGATCAGTCTGAACAAGTCTGGATTTATCTGGATGAAGTCTAGAAAACTCTGGAAAGCTCTGGATAAGTCTGGATAATGCCTGGAAATCTCTGGAAACGTCTGGAAAATGCCTGGAAATTTCTTGGAAGGGTCGGAAAAATTCTGAAAAATGTTCCAAAAGACCTGGGAATCATTTTCCAGATTCCGGATCAGTCTGTACAAGTCTGGATAAATCTGGATGAAATCTGGAAAACTCTGGAAAGCCCTGAATAAGTCTGGATAATGTCTGGAAAAGTCTGGAAATCTCTGGGGCTAACACGCTTTTGATACATCGAACTAAAAAGTGAAAAATAATTTTTAATATAAACAGAAAATATTAATGAACAAAAAATATTAAAATTATTGTCAAAAAAGCGTGGGGTGCTCAATGTATGAGAAATGTGGAACCAAACACCCCAGCGTGTATTTTAGTTTTTTTAAACTATATTTATTTGCGTTCTTTCTCAAGTCTTTTGGAGGGGGGGACGCCACTGTCTATGTTAGTATGTGTGTAAAGCCTCATTTACACGGTGCAAGTAGCTTGAGCAAGTACTAACGCCAGTAACTAAATTATCTTTGTTTTCGTGCAAGTGGGTGTTTACATGCATTTTACTGATTTTAAGTCGAATTTAGTAATTAGTGCAAATTGAGGTGAAATGGCAGCAAGTACAGTTGTTCGAAAAGAAATTTAAAAATGCATTTTGAGTGTTTATGGAGAATTATCACACATTTTATTGAAAGAAATTGAAAATGGAAAACGTTGTTGGGTTCGACCATGGATATCTCGTAGAGAAACACATGGTGCATCTTCCACATTATTGGTTGAAATTGTATGCGGATAACAAAAGAACAATTCAATAAGTTAACTTTTCGAAATAAAACCCATGATTAGCACACAAGATACTGTAATGAGACCTGCTATTCCAGTAAAAGTTACATTGGAAATTACACTATCATATCTGGCAACAGGAAGCAGTTACATACGACATTGCAAAGGCAACTAATAGGTGCAAGGTGCAACACA